TAGACCACATGCTAGCTCATACAGCATGTTTAAATAAATGCAAAGAAATTAAATTTATCCCTTGTATATTATCAGACCATAGTGCAATTAAACTGGAGATTGATAGCATAAGAAACCGTAAGAACTTCACAAACACTTGGAAATTGAATAACATTCTCCTGAACAACCAGTGTGTCACAGCAGAAATTAAAGAAGAAATCAGACAGATTTTACAATTTAATGACAATGCCAGTGCAATATACAGGAATCTATGGGATACGATGAAAGCAGTTTTACACAGGAAATTCATAGCAGTGAATGCCCACACTAGGAAAATGAGCTCAAATAAACAACGTAATAGTGAATCTTAAGCTCCTAGAAAAAGAAGAGCAAGAGAAACCCAAAGCTCATACAAGGGAGGAATTTATAAAGATCAGAGCAGAAACCGATGCAATGGAGACTAAGAGAATGATACAAAAAAATCAACAAATTGAAGAGTTGGTTTTTCAAAAGAATAAATAAAATCAATAAACCCTTAGCCAACCTTATGTTTTTAAAAAAAGGGAAGAAAAGGCTCAACTCCATGCAATCAAGAAGGAAAATGGTGAAGTCACAACAGATCCAGCAGAAATTCAGAGGATCATCAAAACCTAGAGAACCTATACTCTAATAAAATGGTAACACAAAAGAAATGGACAGATTTCTAGATATATATGAATTACTTTGTTGAGCAAAGAAGATATAAAAACTCTAAATGCCCCAATTACAATCAGTTAAATTGAAAATGTAATTAAAAATGTACCAATAAAGAAAAGCCCAGGTCCTGATGGCTTCACTGTTGAATTCTACAAAATGTTTACAGAACTATTGCCACTACTCTTTAAACTTTTCAGTGAAATTGCAAGAGAAGCAATACTTTCAAATTCATTCCTGGAAGTAAGTGTTACTTTGATTCTAAAACCAGGGAAGGTTTCAACCAAAAAAGAGAACTACAGGCCAATCTTCCCCATGAATATAGATGCAAGAATCCTCAATAAGATACTGGCAAACAGAATACCGAGGATTCATCAAGAAGATCATACACCCTGACTAAGTCGGATTTATTCCAGAGATGTAAGGATGGTTCAACATATGTAAATTAATAAGTGTAATACACTATATTAACAGAGTCAAGGACAAAAATCATGAGATCAGTAGATGCAGAAAAAGCATTCGACAAAATTAAACACCCATCAATAAAAAAAGCCCTGCAGAAAATTAGAATAGATGATCTTTATCTCAACTTGATAATGGTTATCTATGAAAAACCAACAGCCAACATCCTACTCAACTGTCAAAAACTGAAAACCTTCATGCTAAAATCAGGAACAAGACAAGGTTGTCCACTATCTTCACTTCTGTTCAATATTGTTTTGGAAACATCAGCCACAGCAATTAGATGAGACAAAAAAAATAAAACAATAAAGATAGGAAAGGAAGATGTGAAACTGTCATTATTTTGATGATGATATGATACTCTACACAGAAGACCTAAAAAACTCTTCCAAAAGAGTTCTAGAATTAATTGACAGATTCAGTAAAGTAGCTGGATACAAAGTAAATACTCAAAAATCAATAGAATTCTTATACACAAATAGACTCGCTGAGAGTGAAATTAGGGAAACAATCCCTTTCATAGTAGCATCCAAAAATTTTGAGATATCTAGGAATCAATCTTAGGAAGGGAAACAAGACCTCTGCATTGAGAACTATAGCACTCTGAAAAAAGTGATTAAACAGGATATAAGAAAATGGAAAGATATCCCTTGTTCCTGGGTAAGAAGAATCAATACAGTGAAAATGGCTATACTTCCCAAACTACTATACAAATTCAATGCAATCTCTATTGATATCCCAACAGTATATTTCACAGAACTAGAGAAAACAATACAAAAATCCATTTGGAACAAGAAGAGACCTAGAAAAGCAAAAGCAAGTCTAGGCAACAGAGACATGGCAGGGGATATCACAATCCGCAATTTGAAACTATACTACAAAGCCACTGTGATAAAAACAGCATGTTATTGGCAAAGAAACAGATTCGAGGAACAGTGGAACAGATGAAGAAACAACTGACATGCTCAGCTGACTCATCTTTGACAAAGGAGCCAAACACCCTCACTGAAGGAAAGATAGTCTCTTTAATAAATAGTGTTGGAAAAATGGGATTTCAACTTGTCAAAGTTTGAAATTAGACCTGTATCTTTCACCATGCACTAAACTAAAACCCAAGTGGATTAAAGATAAAAGTATTAAAACAGAAACACTAAACTTGTTGGAAGATAAGTTATGTAGGACTCTTGCAGATATTGGCATAGCAAAAGACTTTATGAACAAATTCTCAGTAGTACAGGAACTAGCACAAAGAATCAACAATTGGAATCTCATCTTCTTAAAAAGTTTCTGCACTGCCAGAGAAATCATAAGCAGAGCTATGAGACAACCCATAGTGTGGGAAAAAAATTTTTACTAGCTGTTCCTCAGACAAAGGTCTACTATCTAGAATATATAAAGAACTCAAAAAAGCAGACCCCCCTACTATAAAGAACAAATTTAAAAAATGGGCATCTGAAATGAACAAACATTTCTCAGACAAAAAAGTAAAAGCAGCAAATAAACATATGAAAAAATGTTCAACATCACCGGTCATTTGAGAGATGCAAATGAAAACAACAGAGATTCCACCTCACCCTAGAAAGAATGGTTGCTATCAAGAAATCAACCAATAACAAATGCTGATGGAGTTGTGGGGAGATAAGAATCCTTCTTCATTGTTGGTGGGAGTGCAGACTGGTGCAACCACTGTGGAAATAAATATGGAAATACCTGAAACAACTAGGATTAGAAGTCCCATTTGACCCAGCTATTTCTCTGCTAGATATCTTCCCTAAAGAATTAAAAGAATTACACCACAGCCATATATACTCACCCACATTTGTAGCACCACAGTTTGTAATAGCTAAAATTTGGAAACAGTCCAATTGCCCATCAACTGGAGACTGGATAAAAAAATTGTGTGTGTGTGTGTGTGTGTGTGTGTGTTAATAAAATGGAGTACTACTCAGCCACAAAGACCAAGAAACTAGAGATACTTATAGCTAAGTGGATGCACATTGAGGCCATACTCTTAAGTAAAATTAATGTCAGACATGTATAAACACCAAATAGTTTCTCTAGTGTGAAAAATTAATAGTGTAATAAGGATCAAAATGTATAATTGATATTGTGTAATAGGAAGCAAAGGTCTAAAAGAGTAGAGGAAGTGGGATGGGTAGGGGAAAGGCAAAAAGGGAAAAGAAAAAATATGTGAAAAGGCAATACATGAAACAATGTCTTTGTAAGCACGGAAGGGTGGAGTGGCTAAAGGTAGGGCTGGGGAATGGGGGAAAATAAGAACCAAGATAAGTCACATAAAGGTCCAAGATCCCAATGATGACTGTAACTGCATTGTATACTTAAAATGTACCAATTAATTTAAGATAAAAAATAAATATCTATATTGAAACCTTTTGTGTGAATAGTTTTTATTTTACTTGGATGCTTAGGATTATTTATTTGAAGTGCTGGGGATTGAACCCAGGGCCTCACATGTGCATGAAGTATCTAGGCCCAAATACTTAGAGAAGTGGTGTTGCTTTTATAAAATAAGAATATGTTGAACTTCACGAGAAATTGCTGAATTTTATTCTTTTTAAATGTGCATTAAGTATACATGACAAGTCAGTAGTAGTACAAGGTGAGGAGCTCAGGTAGATACAGTATGACTTACAGATTGTCAATATTGTACATACTGGCTATCTGACTCTTCACAAAAAAAGTATATATGTGTTTGTCATAAATCTGTGCCCGATACAGTACTTCATGATCTGGTTGTATTAATTTTGTTTTGTTTTCTGGAGACAGCGTTTTGCTACGTAGTCCAGGCTGGCCTTGGATTCACTATGAAGCCCAAGCTGGCCTTGAACTCATGGTGATCCTCCTGCTTCAGCCTCCTGAGTGACGGGATCACAGACATGCACCACCAAGCCTGACATGGTTGTATTAATAGTATAAGCAATTATGGGGAGTCCTTCTTTGAAGTCCATAATCAACAGCACAATCATTTTATAAAATGGATTTTTTTTTCAGAAAATAAAAACGTTCTTGAAACTTGACTGAAATATAGATGTCTTAAAATTACTGTGGAGTAGCTTGACATTGAATGCTTTGTACAAAATATCTATTTTTATTTTCTCCTATTGAAAATTGAGTGACTGTCTAGGCTTCACAGTGAGTTCAAAGCCAGTCTGAACTACGTGGGGAGACCTTGTCTCAAAAAGAAAAAGAAGCCAGGTGTGGTGGCACAGGCCTGTAATCCCAGCACTCAGGAGGCTGAGGCAGGAGGATCGCTGCAGTTCGAGGCCAGCCTGGGCTTCATAGTGGGTTCAAGTCCAATCTGGACTATATAGACCCTGCCTCAAAACAAAACAAAACAAAACAAAAAAAAACTACACACAAAACTATGGTTGAGAGGATGGGAAGGGAATGAAAGAATTGAGATGTGTTACCTACATGTACCAACTTCCCACCATAAATGTAATCATTGTGTACTGCCAAAAACGTCCGTACTAATAAAAATTTTACACGATTTTTTTCTTGGTACCCTGGGATCCAACTCGGGCCCTTGTGCTTGTGAGGCAGGAGGTGGAACCACTGAGCCAAATCCCTGGCCCCTAGTAAAAATTTTTAAAACAAAAAAAAAATTGAGCTTGATGCTCAGAAGAATAAAGACATTCCCTAAATCATTGTATTTGCATCCACTGTTGCCCACATCACATAATTCGTCCTGTACTCCCAAGTACCAGCTAGCCACGGGACTGGAAGCTGCCATCCCCTGCACTAGGCTGGAATGGTAAGGCGCGCAACACTGTGCACATGCGCAATGGCAGCCGAAAGTGCTGTTGGCGCACAGTGCGCGCAGGCGCGCCGCGGTCTTTGCGGAGGGGCTGGGCTAACGTTGGCGTTTCTTCTTTCAACTTCGGATTGTCGCAGCGCCATTTTGAATGAGCCGCAATCGCTCGTGTGTGTCTGGGAAGTAAGGCTGCTTGTAGGCCACCTGGCCATCTGTCCTGGGTGTCCTTGTCTTGTTTCCATAGACACACGCAGAGAGGTAGCCACTTATAAGTCTAGGCCAGTTCAAGGAGATGATGTTAAGAGGAAACCTGAAGCAAGTGCGCATTGAGAAGAACCCGGCCCGCCTTCGCGCGCTCGAGTCTGCGGCGGGCGACAGCGAGCCCGCGGCCATGGAAAAACCCGTGGCCCCGGAGGACCGCCCGGAGGAGGAGATGGGCTTCACTATCGACATCAAGAGCTTCCTTAAGCCGGGCGAGAAGACTTACACGCAGCGCTGCCGCCTGTTCGTGGGGAACCTGCCCACCGACATCACAGAAGAGGACTTCAAGCGGCTCTTCGAGCGCTACGGCGAGCCCAGCGAGGTCTTCATCAACCGGGACCGCGGTTTCGGCTTCATCCGCCTGGTGAGTTTCTGCGGCGGGATCCCGGCAGCCACCGGGGCGGGGGCGCTTGAGGGACAGTGCTTTGAGGCTAAAGCGTGCGGCCGAGGAAATGAATCGGACGTGAACTTGGAACGGAAGCTGCGGAGACTGCTGAAGAATTACCCCAAGTATCTCCCTGCCTGCAACCCGATCTGTATGCATTTAACAGTGTACCCCATTAGTTTGACCTAAGCGCACTCCCAATTACCCTAAACTTCAGGGTGCTTTAGGTTTGCTTTGGGAACACTAAGGTGTGCAGGGCAGGGCAGTGTGGAATTGTTAGGAAGTATCAGATATGTTTCTGAGCAACATTCTACATGGTTCGCACGGAGAGAGAGGATGGTAGATATATACACCTACTCTTTTAAGTTATTCCTAGCAGTAAAATGTTATGCGTCTTGCAGTCTAAATTTTGTTTGTTTTGTTTTGGTACCAGGGATTGAACTCGGGTCCTTGTGCTTGCAAGGCAGGCCACCGAACCGCTGAGCTAAATCCCCGGCCCCATTGCAGTCTAAATTTTGAAAAGCTTTACAATAACTTGGACCAAAATTGTGCCTCCCATATTTTATAACGGTTAGACAGAGTTGTACTCACAGGACAAAATACTTTCTATAGGTTTTGCTACGCGCTTCTTGGTGTGTTTATCAGACCTTCGTCTTTATTGTAATTCATATTTGATTACTGGCTCTTTTCCAACACTTACCTTTTTTAGAGAGGAGATTGTCCTTAAAAAAATTTTTTTTTGAGATAGTATCGCACTGTCTTGAACAGAGGCCTTGAACTCTGGATGTACCCCTGACTGGCCTCGCGTGGGTGCCTACTCCGTTCTACAGGTGTATATTTTTTAAGCATTTAAGTGATTGGTTTTTCTTTTATTTTGCTAGTTAGACACTCAAAAGTACGAGACATTGCAGTTTGTGGACACTTCCTTATTGGAGTTTTTGGCTTTCAAAAATCAGGTTCTTTCCATGTATGAGCAAAGCAAAAATTTAAGATGTAGATACAATTGATTGTAATTAAATGGTACTGTATTTTGGGGACCATACTTGAATATCTAAGTGAGGGGTGAATATTCACAAGTATTGATAATGAGACATTAGACTTTGGAATTTAAGTTAAATAATAAATACATTTTTAACAGAATTAGGAATGTGTACCTTTTTTTTTGGCCAGAAGGGAACAGCCTGTCACCTGGTAAAATTTTTAATAAAAAAGTTGGGCTGGGGGTGTAGCAGGGTGGTGAAGTACTTGCTTAACGTGCCTGAGGCTCTGAGTTCCATCCTCAGTGCTATAAATGGTGTAGAAAAGGGCAAAAATTATCTTAAAAGAAGTTAGGTTTTGCTAGGTGTAGTAGTGTGTGCCTGTAATCCCAGCACTCTGGAGGTAGAGGCAGGAGGATAGCTGAGAGTTCAGGGCCATCTTGGGCTAATGACTTTTGGTCAGCCCTGTCTCAAACAAACAAAAAAAGTTAGGATTCTACGATAGAGTAATATAAGTAGCTTTTGGTAAACTTTCCAAAATGAATTTATGTAATAATAGTTTCATGATTCTTAGCTTCTGGCACTTTTTCTGAAATTGACACTCTGGAGAAGTGATTTTGGAGGGGCTTCATTTCCCTCTGTTTTGCTAGCTTTGCACTTAAAAATCAAATATTTTATTGAAATGGGCAAATCTTTTTTATCCTTTAGAATATTAGTAATTGACAATTCTTTCTTCCCTTACTATATCAGCACTGTCCAGTGGAACTATGTGTACTAATAGGAATGTTGTGTATCTGCACTGTACAGTATGGTAGTCACTAGCAATACATTTTTCCCCCAGTGCTGGAGTTTGAACTCATGGCTTTCACACTGAGCAACATCCCCAGACTTCTGTCTGACTTTCTTTTCTTTCTTTCTTTCTTTACTAGTGATTGAACTCAGGACCTTGCCCTTGGGAGGCAGGCAGAGGAACCACTGAGCTGAATCCCTGGACCATCCCCAGACTTAAAAAAAAAATTTTTTTTAGAGACAGGATTTTCCTGTGTTGCCTGTGTGAGGCTCAAATTTGCCACCCTCTTTCAGCCCAAGCCTCCCAAACTGTTGAAACTATAGGTATGCCTCATTGTGCCCAGCTGACTTAAAAAAAAAAAAATACACACACACACACACACACACACACACACACACTTCATATGTGACTAGAGTACTTGAAGTGTATAGTGCAGTTTTAATTTTAAGCCAGGCATGGTGGCACATGCCTCTAATCCCAGAACTCAGGAGGCAGGAGGATTGCTGTGAGTTCAAGGACAGCCTGCACTACAAAGTGAGACTCTGTCTCAAAAACAAACAAAAAACCCAAACAAATAAATTTTATTTGTTCATAATTTAAATTTAGTCATATGTAGCTGGTTTATGGGGCAGAACAACTCATTCATTACTTTTCCTCCTGTTTATGAAAAATTTTCTGTGGGATTGTGGAGGTGAAGGGTTGGTGTTTATTCTTTTTGGATATACTCTTTCAAATTTAGTACCCTAAATTTTGTGTGGGCGTAAGAATAGTAAAGATTTGTTAGTTGAAAATTGGAATTTAGTTTACAAAATTTGAATTTATAGATAGCTCTGTAGTTTAGCCAAGTATGCACTATAGCCTATAATCCCAGAATTTGGGTGGCCGAGGCTGGAGGATTGCAGAAAGTTCAGGGCCAGCCTGAACTACATAGTGAGACCCCCATCTCAAAAAAGCCCAAAACAAACAAACAAAAAAAGAACCTCTCAAAACTCCCAAAAATCCTAAAAAGCACAGAGGCTGGGTCTGGGCCTGGTCTCACATTTCTGTAACCCCAGCACTCAGGAATGAAGCAGGAAGATATCTTCAAGTTCAGGGCCAGCCTGGGCTACAAAATAAATTCAAGGCCTATCTGAGCCACTAACTGAACCACCTAGCAAGACCCCGCCTAAAAAAAAAAATGAATTGTGTGGCTCAGTGCAAAGTTTCTGGGTTAATTTCCCAGGACTGCAAAAAAAAAAAAAAAAAAAAAAAAAAAAGTGTTGTAATTTTATTTGGTTTATGTTGCTGGAAATACTTTTTATTCAGTAACTAATCTTTTTTGAGACAGGGTCTTACTATCTAGTTCAGACTGCCCTGGAACTCACTGTGTAGCCCAGGCTGGTCTAGAACTTTCAGGATCCTCCTGCGCTAGCCTCCCAAGTGCTGGGATTACAGGTGTGTGCCACCATGCCCAGCTCAATAACTAATCTTTAAAATGCTAATAAAGTTCATAAACTGTAGTTGTAATTTTCCAGTTAATTGATGGATAACACTTTTGATGTAGTGTTGAGTTAGCATTACTAAAATCTCTGTTGGGGAAAAAGAAGTTTTTGTTTTTGTGATGCTGGGGATTGAACGCAGGTCCTTCACACTGAGGAATATCCCCAGCCCTTAAGTTGGTCAGGATAGGTTGAACTTGTGTGGCTGGGAGAAATTATTTATTTATTTATTTATTTAGGTACCGGGGATTGAATTCAGGCCCTTGTGCTTGTGAGGCAGGTGCCAGAACCACTGAGCTAAATCCCCGGCCCTGGGAAAAAGAATTTAAATGGCTCTGATGGTCCTAATCCAAATTATGTGCTCCTGATACATTAGGGATGTGTATTTTTAGGCACATTGTGGAATTTTTAAACCCAAAGATTATTTTTAGATTTTGATTGGATAATTAAAATTGGATAAATTAATTGTAAAATGTTAGTACATTTTAGAGTTAGTTTGATGTAGCTAAAACTGCTGTTGTTTTGACTTGAACTTTTCTCTGTTTTCAGCTTAGTAAAACAGATTTCTGAGTGTTTCCTGTCCAACATCTTCAGCTAGATCTCTATTTGGTCTAAGCAGAAGGCCACCTAAATTGTTTCCCCTTTATACATACTAGCAGTGTTGACCCTGTAGCATCTCGAGTTTAATCACACATAATCAACTGAGAATTTGTTAATACTCCAGAGGGCTCATTCCAGATCTACTGAATTAGAAAATTCTGAGGATCAGGCCCAGGAATATTAGGCATTAAACAGCTGTCAGTGTTACTGATGCATGTGGGCCAGGAATTTGTCTCAGTGGTTCCGCCACCTGCCTTGAAAGTGCAAGGGCCTGAGTTCGATCCCTTATACCAAAAAAATAGTTTGCAAACCACTATTCTAGATAAATCAATTAAAGAGTTAAAAATCAACTGAGTTTACTTTTGTTTTATTGGAGGCATATCCCTGCATGTGTTTTCTTTGTAATTATGAAGTAATGCATACTTATAAAATGTTTGGATATTATAAACTATGTTGTAGAGTATATTTAGTGGGCCTGCCCAGTATATAATTTCAGGTCATTATTTATTTATTTATTTAATTTTTGGGTTTTTGAGACAGGGTCTCACTATGTAATTCAGACTGCTCTGGAACTCATTGTGTAGCCCAGGCTGGTCTCGAACTCACAGCGATCCTCCTGCCTTTGCCTCCTGAGTGCTGGGATTACAGGCATGCGCCACCACACCCAGCCAGGTCATCTTTTATTTCAAGAAAACTCTCTTAATTAATTTTTTTTTTTTGGAGACACGGTCTCACTATGTTGTGCAGGCTGGTCTTGAACTCACTGTATGGCCCCGTATGGCTGTGAATTCAGAGTGATCTTCCTGCCTCATCCTCCTAAGGCTGCAATCACAGGTGTGTGCCACCACACCTGGCTTAATTACAATTTTGATATTAGTGAAAGATCATTCTTTGCACTGATTTAGTAATCATATACCTTTACACCAGCATCATACTCTATAAATTCATCCACTTTGGAAAAAGTCTCACTTATAACAGCATGGGGCTTGGAGGGGATATCTAGACACAGCCATACAAACGGATAAGGAGTGAGTTTTATAGAAACTGTAAAATAACAGTTGATAAAAGTTATACCTTATGTTTCTGAGTCATGAAAAAAAATCTTTGGTTTCAAGTACATCATTTTTGTTGATTTTCGCTTTAATTGATTTTGCAGATATTTCAGTATATATTTAGAACAGTGGTTCTCAAGCAAAATGTTCTGCTCTTCAGAAGACCTGACAATATCTAGAGACATTTTTGGACTTAAGGCTATGCCTGGGTGCAGTTTTGAGTGTCAGACTACAGGAGAGGTGATTCTACCAGGAATGCTGCTAAACAGCCCCATAACAAGTGTTATATGGCCCAGATGGTGCTGAGGCTGAGAACAATGATCCTGGTTTAGAAAATTTACAAGTGAAAAGTACAATATATATACATACATACATACATACATTCATTCATTAATTCATTTATTTATTGGTACTGGGTTTTGAACTCAGGTCCCCTTGGGCTTTCAAGGCAGGTGTAGTATCCTGAGCTAAATCTCCAGCCCTATTTATTCATTCATTTATTTATTTTTTGTTGCTGTGGATTGAACTGAGGGCATCACGCTTACCAAGCACGCTTACCAAGCACATGCTATACCACTGAGTTACATACCTCCAGCCCTTTTAATTTATTTTATTTTTGAAGTACTGGGAATTGAACTCGGGGCCTTGCATATACTGTACATGTGCTCTACCACTGAGGTACATCCATACCTACCTGCATACCTACCTGCTTGCTGCCTGTTCTCTCCCCTCTCCCTTCTCTCCTCTCCCTTCTCCTTCTTCCTTCTCCCTCTTCCCCCCTTCCCCCCTCTCTCTCCCCCTTCTGCCTCCTCCCCCTTTTTGTCTCTGTCTCTTGGGATGTTTTCACTGAATTGAATCTCCTGAACAGGTTGGTCTTGAACCTCCTGTCTTAGCCTTTCAAGTTGCTGGGAATATAGGCATGTGCCACTGCCCTGCTTCAGGATTACATTTTTTTAGGGTATTTCAAATTTATGCATAGTGAAATACATGTTTTTTTTTTTCTTTTTTTGATGCTGGGAATTCAGCCCAGGGCCTTGGTAAATGCTAGAAAACTGCTCTACCACTTAGCTACATTACCAGCTCCAAAATTTTTTTTCAGCTTTAATTGAGTTTATTGGTACATTTTAGGGATACAGTACAGTTACATTCATTGTTGGGATCTTGTACCTCTACATGACAAGTCTTGATTCTCATTTTTTCCCTTTACCCCTGCCCTCCCTTCACCCCCTCCTCCCCTCCCCATCTACAAACACTATTTCCATCTTTTCACTATCTCACATTTTTTTCTTTGCCCTTATTACCTTCCCCTTCCCCTACCCATCCCACCTTCCCAGCACCTTTAGCTCCTTTCTTCCCATTTCTAAATGTCAGTAATCTTATTAGGATCTTATGTATTATTGCAGATTATTCACATCAGAGAAACTATTCGGTATTTACACGTGTGACTTATTTATTTCACTTAGGAGTATATCTTCAATATGTATCCATTTTCCTATGAATGAATCTATTTTCTCATTCTTTATGGCTGAGTAATATTCCATTTTATAGAAAAACCACATCTTCTTTATCCAGTTTCCAACTGATGGGCAAATGGGCTGTTTCCAAGATTTAGCTATTACAAACTGTGCCGCTATAAACATGGATGCGCATACTTCTCTGTGATATGATTCTTTTAGTTCTCTTAGAAAGATACCCAGCAGAGGGATGGCCGAGTCAAATGGAACCTCCAGTCCAAGCTCTTTGAGGTATCTCCATATTGATTTCCACAGTGGTTGCACCAGTCTGCACTCCCACCAACAATGGAGAAGGATTCCTTTCTCCCCACAACCCCGCCAACATTTGTTATTGTGTGATTTCTTGATAGCAGCCATTCTTTGTGGGGTGAAGTGGAATCTCAGTGTTGTTTTCATCTGCATCTCTCGAGTGATCAGTGATGTGGAACATTTTTTCATATATTTATT